TTCATCTGTCAGTGGCCGACTACTGAACACGCTCGCTCCTTGAGCATCGTCCGGCAGCGAAGCAAATACGTCATCGGCGATTTGATGCTCCTCGGAGAGTGTCTGCGTTTCAACAGGCGGGCCCTTCATCCAGAGATAAGTGGTTCCTGACGGGCCAGATCACCTATTATGACAGGGATGATTTGCGCACACCGCAGGGCCACTTTTTAAAAACGAAACTAAAATATTATGGTTATTAACAACTAAGCGATGCAGTATATTTGCACAGTAGTAAAGGTAGATATTAATGAATTTGTGGCGTATATCCTACCTTGATGTGTGCCCCTCTTCATGGTAATAAATTGGTATCGTCATTTCTAAAGTATCCGATAGTTTCTTTGATGGAAACCTTCTCATCGAAGAATCTTAGGGGATGCTATAGCTATATTATGCTGCATTAGAGCAGAGGCAAAGTACGACGTCGTTCATGAAGGATATCTTACACAATAGCATAGCTAATAATATTCTGTCACCTCTAACGTGCATGCATGGATGAACATTGAATTTCGCCTTATATTGTCTTGCGTGTACGCAGGGAATACGCTGATTATTCCACATGCCCAAAACATAATCGATATCGTAACATTGTTTAAATGTGTATGCTTTTATTCATGGTAGTTACTAGTCATTCATCCTATATGCTCCTTTTTGGCAAAAATTTCGTAAGAACTGGCGTACAATGCTTTCGATAATTTTATCTCAAGTCTCAACCATCTAACTCTCAGAATATTATCCATTACGTCGGCATCTGCTAAAAAGATCCATCGTACTGCGATTACTTTCTGCCTTTTTGGATATCTACTATGAATACTACATCATTTCCATGAGTCTTTCCTCTGCTCGGTAAATGTTCTTCTCTTGTGTGTCGGCATCGTTTGCCTTCCATTCCCACACGCATCCATTTATCCTTTGTTGTTGCGCTTTCGTTCATTATGTACTACAAGCGTTATGAGCTATTATTTCCGGGCGCCCATGCAAGAAACATTATCCTAACGAGCTTCTGTTGCTCTAACTGCGTGTTTGGCCATATTGTTTGTCCTTGTTCTTGCTATATTCGCTTACCATTCTGATGTTTGCATAACTACATGTAGGTAAGCATCCACTGGGCAAATTATATCCATGTATCAATATTAGCGTGTTTACGGTAGTGTTTCATTGCACCACCGCATATATTCGTTCGCAGTTGTTTATAACCCTCGCCCCGTTGGGGGGGGCCATTTTGGCCCCCCCCTGTGGTTTTTCCTGAATAGCAAGAAAACGGCGGCGCGCAGCGCCGCCAAATTTTCAGTACCTTCCCGGGCATCAATTTGACACCTTCACACCAAATTTCAAGTCTTAGGTCACCTTAGGTCAGGAGTTATTGAGGTCAAACTGAGGTCATGTTCGAGCAAAAATGAGCAAAAAACATGCAATCTTGAAACGCTCACCAAATCTACAATTATCAAGCAATTTCAAAGTTCTTTATATGGTCTAGTAGACAAAAAGCGGCGCTACAAAACTGCTATCTCGGATTTTCAAAATTTTGGGTTTTTGACCCAAAAAATTTCAAAAAATTGATTTTTTTTGAAAAACTAAAAAAAATCCAAAATTTTTTCCGAATTTCGAAAAAACCGGAATATATGTGATAGTCCCTTCGCTTTTCTATATACATACCAAATTTCAGATCGATATCTCGTTTTTTGGCCAAGTTATAGCGAAAAAACTGTTCAAAAATGATGACGTCAAATTTTTGAACTCAATTTTTAGCGATTCTAGACCTCGTACGGCAAAACAAAGACCACCATTGAACTCCCCGTGACGAGCTGCATCGATTCGATACCCATTTTATGCAAAAATATCAACTTTGAAATTTGACCTAATTTGACCTGACCTTGACCTGACCTTGACCTGACCTTGACCAAAACGTGACCTAAGCTGGCCCCAAAGGCTGCCTGACCCACATAATCGCATTTGTCATGTAAAATGGACCATAAAACATGTATCACACGACACTTTCATATTGTGACCCCCCAGTGACCTGACCTCTGTGACCTGACCTGGTATCAGTGACCTCAACTAGCAAAATATGTGTTTGAAGAACATTTCCCCATCGATGATTTTCAATGAAATGCATTTTACTCGATTGTACAACGCATTTCTTGATATGCCTGTAAACGGTGAAAATTGGACCTTTGACCTGACCTGTGACGTCATCGGTTTGACCTAGGTTAATAAAATTGGGTCACAAGGTAGTTCCCTGATAGGGCTATCCAACACCGTTTGCCGCTTGTCGCTACGTTGCGTGGTTCTCGAGATCTTAGGGGGGGGGCCAAAATGGCCCCCCCCCCCAACGGGGCGCGTTGCTCGGCAGAGCCCAACGGGGCGCGGGTTAACACAGACCCTTGCAATGCCCACACGATGTCCGCTCAATATCGTCAAGTCATCATTAAATTCCGGTCGCCCGTTTCATCCATTCATTCAGCTCATTCGTTTCGAGCGTGGCCACAATTTATTCGCCGGCACATCCATCTATCTCGGTTTGGCTGTCCGGTCTGCCGGGTCGAGTCGGCCCACCGGATTTCACATCCGGTTCAGCTGATACGCCCGACCATGCAATTTCTTTCGCCCGTCAGTAATACTTTTTATGTGTAGAAGGGATTCCAGGTAGGGGATCAAATGTTTATTTGTATACGACTATGGCATTAATGCCAATTAAGGTGCAGGGAGACACATGTATCTCCAGAACCTGTTTCACACCAGTCTCAATTTCATACAAAGTGTAGGTATAGCTACATATCATCTGAACATCTAACAGGCGTTCTGATTGCGACACTTATTACGATGTTTGCAACCTACTTCAATTTATCTTAGCTGTGATAGCAAACCTGAAATCGTAACACCAAGATGGTTGCTTTCAAAACGATAAGATACTGTCATGAGAAGTAAAATAGCGAATTTAGTTATATCTTTTGGGAATGATGGTATAGTAGATAATGCCGTTTTCACGACGGCCATCTGGTAAACATCTGGTGCACATTTGGTGCAGATCAGGTGCAGATTTGGTCAAATCAGGTTCAGTGTGTCTCTTAGTAGCTATTAGCTACGGTTGCACTAATTGCTTAAATGCCTGCTTTGTCATATTACTAGAGAGTAGTGATGTCAATAACGGAAAATCAGAATACCGATACCGAACCAAATGCCAACCAAAACCATGAAAAATACCGAAACCAAACCAACTTGGGAACATGAGGGAAATACCAACTTTTTACCGAATTCGTATCCTCTTATACATTAGCCGGATTCGTAATACCAACAAAATACCAACAACATTAGGATCAAAATACCAAATACCAAGTTGGTATCGGTTTGGTACCGGTATACCAAAAAGTTGGTATCCGATTAGCATCTCTACTAGAGAGTATCATCGATTAAAACACTGAAATAAATTCATAAAATGAAGATATTTGCTGTAAAAGATATTAGGTGCAGATTTGGTCAAATTAGGTGCACTCGCCGGATAGCCCGTCGTGAAAACGGCTATTTCCACTACGTCATTTTAGAGTTTATATTTCATATATAAATTCGTCAAACTTTTCCCGAATCTCTTCTGTCAAGTGACCAACGCATAACGCATTTCACGCTTCACGCTGTTCAAGCTGTTCCGCATATTTCAGCCGCACTTCCGTTTGTTTCGACCTCCTATCCCCCTCAACGTGAGCTCCCCGGTGCCGGCCGGGCAGGACCGTCCGTCAATCTGTTCTCGCCGCTCTCGCCGTATCTCCAGCGCTATGCGGTCTGTCGCCGCGGCCGCGGACGGACCACATCTCCCGCGGGACCACATTCAATTAGTGACGGACGCGATAGCCTGAGGCGCGTCCGGCACCCCACCGCCCGCCCGCCTCCGGACCGGCAGATTGTTTATGCATGAGCGGCTCGAGTCGGGTCGACAGACGGCTCTAGGAGCGCGGCTCGCCGGAGCAGGCGTCTGCTCCGGACCGGATGGATGGATAGGACATTCGTCCGGGCCCGCGCGACCGCCGCCGGCGCCGGGCGGTGACGCGGGTCGGGAACGGGGACGCAGACGGCGAGATGTGTTTTCCGGAGGGCGATACGAGTGGAGCGGTGTGGACTGTGGATTCGTTCGAGAGGCGCCAGCGGACACGAGAGGTGTCTCGAGCGAGATGTCTGACCACTTGCTCGCTCGTCTGAGGCTGCTGAGGGTACTTCGTGAGGTGGAAAAAGTGGCGCTTGGGCTGTGTGGGGTGTGGTGCTTGCATATAATCGGAAAATGGAGAATCAGACGAGGGAAAACTATGTGTTTGGCGTGGCTTATAATTTATCTACGGAATAATAGGGAACACTCAATCTCATTGCATTATGCAATGTTGCGCAAGGTCCAGGCTATTGCCCAAGGTTACTGGTGAACTCTGAGTGATCAATCAGTGGGAGTGTTGGAACGGGAAATCTTCAGGGAACTATAGCTCTCTCTCTCTCTCTCTCTCTCTCTCTCTCTCTCTCTCTCTCTCTCTCTCTCTCTCTCTCTCTCTCTCTCTCTCTCTCTCTCTCTCTCTCTCTCTCTCTCTCTCTCTCTCTCTCTCTCTCTCTCTCTCTCTCTCTCTCTCTCTCTCTCTCTCTCTCTCTCTCTCTCTCTCTCTCTCTCTCTCTCCCTCTCTCTCTCTCTCTCTCTCTCTCTCTCTCTCTCTCTCTCTCTCTCTCTCTCTCTGTGACCATTGCTCCCTTCAGAGACGTACGGTGACACCGGTAACCCTCGGGACACTGCATAATCAGTCGGTACGGGATATCGATCACCTGCGCTGGCTGAGCCATTTATTATGTCGTGAAGTCAGAGAGAACTATAGCGACTGTCATTGTTTTCAGATGGGTTCATCGTTTACGTGTTTATAAATTAAATCTCCAGAGTGAATAGATGTGCACTAGCTGTCAGAACGAGACAATGCTTATCCGCGTCTCCTTTATTGCAGGGTCGATTCAGGGGAAGAACGAGCGCCAGATCCTGGAGAAGGTGATGAAGGACTACAACACCTTGGAGCGTCCGGTGGCCAACGAGTCGCACCCAATCGTCGTCAAGTTCGGCCTCACGCTCCAGCAGATCTTGGATGTGGTACGGTGCACACGTGGTCCTGGATGTTGGCAGCAGTGGTCAAGTAGTTAAACGTTGTTATGGGGGTTTGGTGTGGTGGGGAGTAGAAGAATCAGGGGGTTTGTTGCGTTACGCTGGAAAGAGTTGTCTCGTGGTCAGTCGGTAACATTACATGATGCGGGTCCCTTTCTTTGATTAGCGTTATTCGAGTAGTGACGTGGCATACAAGTGGGTTGGCTCGCTTGTGGTGGGAATTTGTTTTCTTTGTGGTGAGAGGCTTGCGGTTTTTATTCAGACCCAGTCAGCTGACAGCTTCGAAATTGCTGGGCGGTGCAGGGGAGCCATGACAAGTATCTGTCTCCCAGACTGTGTCTCGGTGTTTTGTCTTTGTGGGGGCAGGTGTGGTCCCTGATGTTTCCCGACATGGCCGTTCTATGTGTCCGTAATGGTGAAATTTTCGTTTTCAGTGCAGTGCATCTTATCATGCGACCACCCTCATACAGTGTCTCCCGTGTGACATTCTGTACTCTGCCGTATTATCGCCCCCTCCCATGGTGTCTCCTGTGGGACATTGTCCGACTAGTGGCCGACCCGTCCAGTGATTGTCTCCCCTGTGACATTCTCTTTCTTGGGGACGCTCCATCTCAGTGTCTCCAGTGAGACATTCCCGTGCAGACCTCTCCCCCTATCCGGGTCTCCCCGGCGCGGCGGCCGAGGGAACGGTACGCGTCGTGGCGTACGTCGAGGACCGCTGCCTCATTAGACCGTGCTCACAGCCGGTCGATGGCGGCGGGATGCCCGGTACGCCGTTATTGCTCCAGGGCCGGCAATAAACACACGCGCTCGATACGGTCTGGGTGACGGTCCGGTCACACTGCCAGACCTGACCTGACCGGATCAGGCCTGTCTGATGGGTGGCTGCCAGGAGGAAGGGCAGAGAGACAGGTGTTGAAATCACTGGCTCACGTGGCGGTGATGAGCCGTTTGGGGTCCAGAAAAATACCGCCCAAGAATTAGTCACCATGACACCGCTATAAGCGGTTTGATGCCGAATGTATCGGAAGTCTCGGCACGATTAGTGCGCCCACTCAACGACCCTATACATATTATATGTGATCTCTGGTGCATCGAAAAAATCCAAGATCAGGCTCACTATAGCTCAGCCATGCCCGAAAGGAATCTTACGCAACAAATAATGTCCATGCACCAGAAATAAACCAGTCTCTGTTCATTGTAATGTGACTGACATTGAAACTCAGGTTCGAGATTCAATCTTGTAACTTAGTGAGTAGATTTCGGTAAGCTTGTATTCCACTATCTCCATTGTCCGAGAGTATTTCCGGCCGGAACCTGCCCTCTTCCCAGCCGCTCCAGCCAAGACGGCAGACGCTGCCAAAACTCGTCTGTCCACTGGGCGTGAAGGTGATAACCGGGCACAGCGCCGGTCGGCCGTTTCTCAGCCGGTGCTAACCGTGTCGGCGGCGAACGGTTATCGGATTTTGTCGCGGCGCCACCCCGTGAGTGGTCGGTAACCCGGCTCACAACTGGATTATAGGCGCTGTTAACCGCGTCGCCGACCGGCCGGCCGCCGCGCTGGACGGGGCGGCGGCGGCGGCGGCGGCGGCGGCGGCGGCGGCGGGTCAGGGCAGTGCCAGGAGCGCACTGCGCGGCACAGGCCCGACCTGCGGGGTGATCGGGGCCAAGAGCCGGTCCCCGGGTTACGATGGGAAGGAGAGGAAGGCAGAGGGAGAGGAGGGGAGTGAGAGATGAGTGATGACACGGCTGGAGATTGCCTGGAGGAGGGGTGCAGAGCAAGGGGTCGATGGGGGAGTCGAGGCGGTGGTGGACAGCTCTTTGTGTTAAGTGCTCAGTCTGGGTGCTGTATGGGTGTTGCGAGCTTTGTTCTGTGTCGCCATCAGTGCTTCTTCTGATTGTTCCGCAGTTGTTCTGTGTTAGTTGTGGTGGCTGTGAACTGTGGAGCGATATGTGTTCAAGTGCATTGACATGATCTGGTAGGGGCTTGGTCGTTGACGTCCTCGGTCCGGTCTGCACGGTAATCACGTTCACATAGTTGGCTGATGTAAGGTCGATCCCCCGCTGACGAGTTCTCTCGAGAGAACCACACCGCCTGCGGGTTCACAACGGCCCCTCCCCTTTAACGAGAAAAACGAAATAGCGTTCTAGGAATTCCATGGAAGAAGGTAAAAAAAAAAAATCACTGCTGCACGTCTTGCCGCGCTCGCTGCCCTCTGTCGACTGGCGCCTGGCATGTCCCTCTCCGCTTCCCTCTCGCCCCTGCCTCCCCGCGGCCATGCGCCTCCCGCCGTCCCTCCCCCTCCCGTTGTTCCCCCTCTCTCCCCTCACTTCGCCGTGCGTCCCTATCCGATCCGTCAACATACCTTACCGTCTCCGCCGTTAAGGTGGCTATTGACGTCCTCGGTCCGGTCTGCACGGTAATCACGTTCACATAGTTGGCTGATGTAAGGTCGATCCGGTCGGTTATGAGTCCAAAGTGGATTTTGGTAAGTTATAAGTAATGCCATGCAATGGCTTCTAAAATTGTTGGTGGTGCAGCGTGATTGTTTTGTGGCAGCAATTGACGCTTATACACCATTACGATGGTGTAGATATAGTTTGTTTATTGAATCCAGTTTTATAAGCTGTTCACTCTTCCTTTCACTTGATGAAACGATAGTCTGTCTAAGTTCAATGCTCTTTTTCGTGGGTGAAGGTATAACCCGCTTCTCTTTTTCATAGGACGAAAGAATCAGATTCTTACGTCAAATAATTGGTTAAACTTGGTAAGTGTGTGTAACTGTCACGCCCGGCGAGCTTGTCCGTGTTACAATGCATGAGCGCGGGCTGAGTGTTGGGCCAACACGAGGCACGGGTCACGCCATTCGTCAGACGGCAGCGACATCAGCTGCAATAGAACTCACATACGCCGCCGACAGGCAATTCGAGCCATTCGTCTGCCACCGGAATGAAATGACTCCGTGCCTTGTGGAGGGGTTCGCAGAAAGGGCGGCTGGCGGCCGGGGCTGGCGGGTGACGCCGCTGCGAGCTCCCCGAGCTGAGCTGGACATGGTCAGACAGCTCGGGATTGTCGACTCGGCGCCACTCGCCGGTCCCGCCGGTCGCAGTTGCCTGAGCTTCTGCAGCGCCACATGCTAGAGCTGGGACGGACGGTCGGTGCAGACAGGCGCACAGTGGGGGCACACTCTTATCTTAGCGAGAAGTAATGCAGGTTGTATCATTGTGAAAGTGCACGACATTTTGACGAAAGGCGTCGTGTTTGATGGTCTCTTGGGGGCGTTGTAACGCTAACGCGGAAGCGAGGAAGATATCTCAAATCGAACTGCCAGATTAAAGCCATAAAATAGCCGCTGTCATCAGCTAGGCAGCTAGGCTGCGTTGAGTGGCCATTCGGGACGGCATGCACCAAATCGGCGCCCGATAACAGGACATTCGCCGGGGCGGCAGCGGCGATTTAAGGAGATATAAAGCCTCTTAGTGCCACTCGCAGGGCGTATTTGACAAACGGCGTGGGATTGAGGCCGCCACTGGTGTCTTCCAGCTGACTTGAGACGCGCTCACTTCTCCCTCTGTCTGGCACCAGTCTATCGCAGAAAAACAGAGCTCAATCCCGGACCAACAATATCAACCTCGGACACAAAACGGTTGACAAAAACACTTCTGTTGTCATTGGGTGCCGTTTCAAAATCAGTGTATTTTTCGATTTGGCTCATGATGCACATTGCAGAGCACCACGCTCATTACAAAAAGTGACGTTTTGCTAGCTTCAAATTTATCCATTGATCGGGTTTTGATGATCAGTGTCCACTGTCCATATCAGGGGTGGCTGAACGCTGTTCGCCTGTGGTTGCACACTCGTCCGTCCCGGTTTCGTTGCCATGTTGCGCGCACAGCAGCTCACAGTGTTAACACACGTTTTCTGTTCAAGGATGAAAAGAACCAGCTTCTAATAAGTAACACTTGGTTAAATCTGGTAAGTTAAATAATGGTTTTAACCATAATCGGAAATGCGATTAAAGGTATACGGAGAAAATTACAAGGCACAACGCTTTTCGTTCTAGAAATTGTTGTATTATTTTACACGAGTCAAAGTTATTTCGATTTGATACTCGATTAAGTAGGTAGTAAGAGGTGTCTTTATTTTCTTCAGACCTTTTATCGCTGCTCCAATAAAATGAAGCCAGCTGATCGCGCTGCTAAACACAATGCTGAATTAACCATGTCTCATTTATAAAAAAACGTCTTGTGAGCATGGGAGCAAGTACATTTTCATAACACCACGCAAAACGTTAAGTTGTTTAAATGCTTCAAAGACGTATGTACAGTCATAGGTACAGGATACACTCTATCACTAAATGGTTCGAATATCGGGAAAATGGGCGTGGATCATTTTTGGAGTCGTGCGATCTCTATGCAGAACATTGCGGTTTTACTTGTTCAAGCACAGATATTTCCATCTAAGCTCGAACACTAATGTAATGCCCACGGTCTCGGTTACGGCTCTGTTCCTGTTGTCTGTCTCTGATCTGACCCGTGTCGGATGCATGCCTGGGTTGGCCGCGGTATTATACGCTGATGGGACGCGTCTCTAACCAGGCATGACCGCCAAGCCGGGAATGGTGCGACGCTCCCACAGGGGCGCACAGTGGGCAGCAGGGAGACGGCCAATAAAGCACGAGCGGCTCTCTGGCTCTGTCAGCAGGTAGGAACTAGAGGAGGGGAAGGAAAGAGGGGGGAAGAGGAGAGGAGATTGAGGAGATTCGGCCCGAGCCGGCAGAGAGTGGGGAGGATTGTGTGTAAGACCCGGAGTTCTCTTTTGTCAGCTATTATCTGACGCCCTCTTTTTCAGCGTGAACTGCTAACACCCGCATAATTTCCCAATTATTTTGCTACCCCATCCCTCCCTTTGTCTATATCTCCGCGTAACCACCACTGGGGACACTGGGGACTGGTCCCCAGTGACTTTTGGGTTACTGGGGACCGTCCCCAGTAACACTGACGACCTCCTCAATTTGCTTAACCCTATTAGTGGCAGGCTCCTGGCTACCCCCTATTAGTGGCAGGGGGGGGCTGTTTACGACCCCCCCTTGATATCTCGAGATCTAACGGGCCGATTTTCAAAATTCAAACGGCATTCGATTTCGCTCAACGTGATCTACATTTCTAAAAAATAAAAATTAAAAAATGTCAATAGGGGGGGTAGAGGGGGGTAAAAACGGGCAAATTGCAGATACATTTTAGACTGTTTATCACGGCCAGGTTTCTGAACCAATCTTAACGCAACTTTTGCCGATCGATAGAGAATGAACCAGGAATTCACATGGATCCTAAAAATATGCATTTTCAAAAATCATAGGCGGATACAGATCATTGAGATTGGGGGTGCACAAAAAGTATAGTAAAAAAGGTTTTTGTTGGTACTGTTTCTAAAAAGGGTGGTAATGGTCTTGTTATGTTACAATTTTCTTATGAGAGAACGACTACAATTGTATTGGTCATGCATAGGCGGTGTCAGGGCACCTATGTTGGGAGGTAAAACATAACTCCCCTTTTTGGACGCCTGGATCCGCCTATTATAGCAAAAACGTGTCAAAAGAGGATGCACAATAACTGTATATGTTATCACATGATACCTTTCATTCACTGTTCGTAAAACTGGTGCAGCATCGTGATCTTCGCCCAAATGACTCGCTTCACGAATAGGACCCCCCAATTCCCAGTGCTCTGGAGCCGCCCCTGGTAAAGTTATGAACTTGAAATTTTCAGGGAATGTGCCCAATTTAGTTTTAGGAAAAGTCAGAAAATTTCAGCATCGTAGCTTCAGCGGTTTCGGAGATATTCCCGAAAAACCTGAGGGGTGGATAAAAACAACCCCCCCCCCCTGCCACTAATAGGGTTAAATAGCCAAATATTGTCTCTAAATCGACGTGAAAAGTAATATGTAGTCAACGGAAGACAAATCTATGGATGTTTTGTTTAGCCATGGATTACCTTCTACCTCATCCTTACTACTTCATCCATGGTTTAGCCCTCGCCCGGGTAGGCCTTTCAGCCAACTTCGCCAGGGGGGGGGGGGGGCTTTTTGGCCACTCTGCAGGTTATCTCGGAAAGTAAGCAAGTTAGAAAGACGCAGTAAAAAGCAACAGATAGCTCGCTACAGTATGTTTCAGAATTACACTTATTTTTGATCAGGTCATCGCTGAGGTCACTGGAGGTCACCAAAGGTAAAATTTTCACGAACTTTTGTTCCCAATTTTGACAACCTTTTCACAAATTGGCGCATAAGTCGGGAACCAATAGAGCTTCAATGCGGCGGGGAAGCGCATTCGATAGCTCTTTCAAAGGCCTTTCTGATCGATCCCCTCAGATTTGACCTAAGGACTAAGGTCAACGGTTTAGCCTCCAGGTTGGCGTTTTTGCGGAATAGGTTTTTGTATCATGCCTTTTGACTCCAAACTTGTATGACGCTGATTTTACGGCATCGCGTTTGTCTCGTCGAGACGCGTCGAATAAATTATAAGTCTGGAAAAAAATTGACCTCAGTCCTCAGGTCAAGGTCACGGAAAAGGTCATGTTGCATGTCATTCGGTTGGTATTAGCCGTTTTCACTACGGGCTATCCGGCGAATGCACCTGATTTGACCAAATCTGCACCTAATTTCTTTTACAGCAAATATCTTCATTTTATGAATTCATTTCAGTGTTTTAATCGATGATGCTCTCTGATAATATGACAAAGCAGGCATATAAGCAATTAGTGCAACCCTAGCTGATAGCTGCTAAGAGACACACTGAACCTGATTTGACCAAATCTGCACCTAATCTGTACCAGATGTGCACCAAATGTCTACCAGATGGCCGTCGTGAAAACGGCTATTGTTGAGCTGAACACATTCATGGTGTTTTCAGCGCTCTAGCCTCTAGCATGTTTCTACCTAAAGTTATGGTAAAAACTCATGGAGATGTTACATGACCTGAGATGACCTCAGGGGCATGCAAGGGGTTACAGTTACAATTTACCGGTTCAGTGTATCATTTTTACCTGTGTCACGGTGTTTGAATGTGTTTTCGGCCAAAAGAAGATCATTTCAATTTTCTCCCATTGACTTACCTATGGCAGAAAATTGGAAATTTGGAAAATGGAGAGTTCGCAAAATTGACCTGACATTAGGTCACCGATGTGAAGACTTTAGAGATATGCGAATTGTTCATACTGATTTCCTCATGCAAAAGCTCGAGTTTCAAACTTTTGAGATTTAACCCGCGCCCTGCTGGGGGGGGGTGTTTGAACACCCCCCTTGTGGTTTTTCGCGAATATCTCAAAAACGGCGGCGCGGAGCGCCGCCGTTTTTGGTACACCTTATTATACATCAATTCTACACATGTTGTGAAAATTTCAGACCAAGGTCATTCAAGGTCAGGTCACCAGGTCACTTGAAGTGACCTCACCTCATAAAAAGTTTCAATGTCTGTCATAGCTACACCGAGTGACCGATCGCTTTGAAACTTTCAGCGATTGCTAAGAGCAATAGCATGTACAAAATGTATATCTCAGAATTTTGATATCGATGACCTAAGGTCAGGTCAATTTTGCGACCTCCCCATTATAAGTCAATGGGAGAAAATTGAAATGCGCCTCTTTTGGACGAAAGACATTATAAACACTCCCAAACACCGAATTACAAGTGGTTCAAACACACAGAACATGAAAATGGTGTCCGTGATCCTTGTTTATGCCCTGAGGTAATATTAGGTCACGAATGGTATCTAACAGTTTTTCGCAAATAACTTTTGATAGAGGCATGCTAGAGCGATGAAAACGCCTTAGATGTGTTCAGCTCGACGATACGGATCGACTGATATGCAACATGACCCTTTCCGGTCAGGTCATGACCTTGACCTGAGGTCAAATTTTCAAGTTGACCTTTCAAGGTCAAGTTATAGTTCATTCGATGCGTCTTGACGAGAGGAACACGATGCCGGTAAAAGTAAGCTCGTACAAGGCTTGGGTCAAAAGTTATTGCAGAAAAACTATTTCCGAAAAAATCGGTTATTTTTGCAGTTTTTGCCCCCTGCAGGCAAAACCGTTGACGTTAGGTCAAATCTGAGAGAATTACTCAGAAAGGGCGTTAATAGGGCTATCGAATGCGCTTTTCCGCGGCGCTGTAGCTCTATTGGTTCCCGAGTTATGCGTTGGCTTCTTGGAAATTTTCGACATTCGACCTGGAAATCGGCGAAATTTTGCCTTCTATGACCTCTGGTGACCTGACCTTTGACCTGACCAAAAAATTGACCGAAGTGATTTCGTCATTATTTTTGACGTTCTTTCGAACGCTGCCTTCCGCGTATCGCTACGTGGCCCAGGAGCCGAGTTACAAGGGGGGGGGGTGTTCAAACACCCCCCCCCCCCCCAGCAGGGCGTGGAAATCCAGGACCCCCAGCCGGGCGCGGGTTAACTGGGAATGACAGTCGTCAGTCACATAGTTTTTTTAGAGGCATGGTTACTTTACTTGACCTGGTGACCTGACCTCAGGTGACCTGGGGTCAAAATCTTCACACGTGATGCGAAATTGACGCATCATAACCTATTCCAAGTTTTGCAGCGGTGCGCGCGGCGGTTTTCCTCACACGTGCAAAAAAACTGGCAGGTGTGGCCAAAAACGCCCCCCTCCCCCCCACTCGGGCGAAGGCTGTTCCTGAAATATAATATTTGGTCTTCGCGGCCCTCCATGTGGTCCCCAGTGACTTCGGACTCGTGGTTACGCGCGACTCCACCCATCCCGGGACCATCACCAGCTTATTTCTTTCCCTTCGTCACCCTCTGATAGTCCCATCCCAGCCCCACCCATGGTTCGCGATCGGCGGTTAGGTCTGACCCGCAGCGACGGACACGCTGCCCGCCTCCGCGGCGCGCCGGGCGGCCACAATGGTCGTTTTATGACCACCCCCGATGGAGAGAAATGGTCCGAGTTGCGCAAACATTACGGCTTGCCACCGGCCGTTGATCACCGGCGGCCGCAGCAGGAAGTGTGCTCGGCCCACCGCGCCGAAGCCCAGAGATCGCCACTTTATCCGAGCGCGCTCGGGCCCAATGGCCCCGCGGAGGCGGCTCGGCGGCGCGCCGGTCAGCGGGCTTATGGAGCTCAGTGAACGGGCGGACTCAGTCTGACAGGGTCAACGAGAGCACCAATGTGATGTGATCTCTTAGCTGGTATAGGATTAGAGTTTCAGATAGCTGCTTCTTAGTTGCACGACATGCATAAGCTCGGTACAGAGTTGTCTGTTTGTCATTGCTGCTAAGCAAAGCACAGGACGCTTTGCGATAGCCTCGCCAGCCAAACTCCTATTAAGTGTTCAAAATCGAGAGGCGGTGGCGCGCTTTTTGTTCGACCCCGGCGAGGCGCGAAATGACTATCCATTTGCATAATTGTGTCGTTATTGGATGCCAACTGCCGGCGGCTGATAACAAAACCCCAGACGATTTCTTCGCGCGCTTAAGAGATAGGCAATCCTTTACTGAAATCGACGTTAAATGCTGCCGAGATCTGAGAGAGATGCTTATGTCAGAACATATCATCTGCCAATGCCGATTTTTTACAATGAAGAATACGATAAAAATACACAAGAAAACTTCAGTTAAAATGGATGGATTGATGAATGTGCGACACAATGTTCAATCTCGGGGAAAACATCGGAGATATTTCCATGATATTTATACGATAAGCACTATAGATATATATTATAGGTTTTATTTTGATAACTCATTCAATGCTACATCTATATTACTATTTGAGGAGGGTGCGTCTGTCCGTTACCGAGGTCCCGACTTGGTCGTGCTTTGCGTGAACTACAGGCCAGACCGTTGCACCTAGCGCGGTGAAACTTGCACAACTTATAGATCAAGGATGCGCGACGTGCCTTTGAGGGGTCTCAGCTCGATCGGATTGATGGGGAGCGCGAGGCGCGTGGCCAAAAAGTGCAAATTCGCGTCATAGACTTTACATGTATAAATCGGCGTGCGAAATCGGGCGAAAACGGCTAAATTTGCCCGACACGGGTCCCATCTCCGTGCAATATCTCGGTAACCGTGGGCCCGATCGGCACGGCGAAAACAGCATCGTGTAGATAATTGAACGGGCTATCGAATGGTGTGCGGTGCAGGAGATGGCACGCGCCACGTGCACCCATGAGGATACTTTTATTGGAAAAATTGCGGTTTTTGACGTATTTTGGAATTGATTTTATTTTTAGGTGACCGTTAAATGGAGCGAGTTGAAACAACGCCTATTTGCAAGAGAAATGTACCGCCTCTCATATAAAAATTGTGAATAGCTAATTGATCGACGGCAAGGTGGTACAAATCGCTAGAGAAAATGGTGTTTGTCAATTTTGTGCCACTTTATTAATCACACGGGGTTTGCTGCATAACCTGATACCTTTGGCAATTGAATATGGTACCATTGGATAGAGCATTCAATTCTGTCCAATATTCACTCTTCATTTTTGCATGATTAGCAACAGTATCCTTAAAAATGTAAATGTTCCAAACCATCACATTGTCATTTTTAGCGAAATTCATCGATGGCCCTCAAAAGACTTCACGCCAGTTTTCGAATCATTCTAAAGTAGAACGCATGATAATACGACACGGGCACCTCGATGCGATGTATCTTTTTGTTTTCTTACAAAATGCTTGGCCGTCAAAAAGCAATCGAACGAAATGGATATCTACCAACCAAACCGACACAGACCAACCCAATACCCACGGGTCAAAAAATCCCCCCTTCGCGTTGCGGAGCACGCGGGTAACCCTAGTGTACACTACATGTAAACATATTCTCCCATGCTCACGATGTCGATGAATGCTTCATTTTAATTTAATCATAAATTGCATTGTAAGTGTTTGCATAACTAATATTACTTGCATATGATGATATCGTGTTTTTGTGCAATGTGCTATGTGCATGCTTGCTACTCAGTGTGCGAAGTCACAATGCATATATTTTTTTCTACGTGCATGCAATGCCACTATCATTTTTTAGTTTGCTTTAATTTTCATGCATTCCCAATTAATCATGATTATTCATCCGTTGATCTTCTTTACGGTGACACTGTCCCTCAAATATTTTGCTCATTTTTTTCTGGCAAATAAACTTCAAAGTAGTTTGAAGTAGATACCCTAAATTTCTAGCATCATTACTTTGTTGCACAAAGGGGCCATGACGTAGCTAAACATGTAGTGTCATATACAATCACCATACTCTTATGCTATATTTTAAATAATTTCCTCTTAAGTATAAATGGGATATGTGCCTTTATAATATTTGTATAATTGCCAGGAATGGGACGACTACAACCTCCAATGGGACCCGGAGGAATTTGGAGGAGTCAACAATCTGCACATCCATCCCAAATATTTGTGGAAGCCGGACGTCCTCATGTACAACAGGTAATGCCACTGATTTGTCGATCAGCTGGGTCCTATTGACCATGTCCTTTGCATCCTGGCTTAGAGCACTTGTTCACGTTCATGCTGCATTTGAAATAATGTGACCTAGAAATCAGGCCAGCTACATGGGTGGGCCTTTCCGCGAAGTAGTGGTCAAGTACTACACAAAAGTAAGCGTCGATCACCTGACGTGTCTGGAAGCCATTCGTTTTGTGTGTTTTTATTGCTTGTTATATTGCAGTTTGCATCATCCGCTTGAGGTCCTCCTGAATCATTCGTTTAACTATAAATTCGGGTGAACGTTGATATTGTATGCACTGTCGCTGAGACCCACCGCCTGTTTCCAGTGCCGATGACAAATTCGACGGCACGTACCCCACAAACGTGGTGGTGCAGCACAACGGCAGCTGTCTGTACGTGCCGCCGGGCATCTTCAAGTCCACCTGTAAGATCGACATCACCTGGTTCCCGTTCGACGAGCAGAAGTGTACCATGAAGTTCGGCTCGTGGACCTACGATGGGTGGCAGGTGAGCAGACAGCTGCACAACGGTGCACGAGCAGGGCCAGAGGGTAGGCAACTGTTGTTCGACATTGAGCATGCACTTGCAAAATATACGTATTAGGCTACACGGTGGGCACAATTTCCCACATAGCACTGCATTACATGATCCAGATGGTCTCATTTCATCATCAGTGCCTTCCTGACCATCTTTTTCGCTACACTTTTCTGCTACTTCTTGGGCCGAAGTCGTTGGCCCACTTGGCACTACTCAGAATCAATCATTGAATTTAGATCTGCATTGACTGCTTTAAACGCTTCTTGTATCATTGGCTGAATAATGAAAGAACTAAGGACGGCATGAATAGGTAAATACAAGATAAGGTAAATGGCGGAAAGATGAAAGCTAGAAATGGCATCAGAAAAAAGAAATAGGATGTCAAGGACATGAGAACGAGAGGAAAAAGAAGAAGAAGTAAGAAGCAGATAAGAGCGTTAGAAGAAGGAGGAGAGGACACACAGAGAGAGAGAGAGAGAGATGGAGGGAGAGAGGGAGAGAGAGAGGGAGAGAGAGAGAGAGAGAATAAACAAAAGTAGAGGAGAGAGGGATGAGAAAGAAGAAAGAAGAGGGTCTATGGGAGGAACGAGAGAATAAGAGTAGATGGAACGAAGGAGAGTGGGTGAGGGAAGACGAGCGGCCGGTGTCGGCGGCGGCGCCTGTCTGACGGCCCAGGCCTGTCTGACGGCTCAGTGTCGATTTGTCATTTTATCGGCGGCGGCGACGGGGGCGGCGAGAGTCGTCTGACCTCCGCCCGTCACCTCGCTCGCCACCGGGTGTCGTCTTCCCTAACCTCTTCTCCTGACCCCGCCCGCCACCAAGGACGGTGTGATTTGATCAGCAGGTCAAGCCGGGCCACTCGTATCACCTCCAACCGGCGACTATTTCGGGCTGACCTAACCTGAAGGACGGCGTGGCGGGGACGGAGAGAGAGAGAGAGAGAGAGAGAGAGAGAGAGAGAGAGAGAGAGAGAGAGAGAGAGAGAGAGAGAGAGAGAGAGAGAGAGAGAGAGAGAGAGAGAGAGAGAGAGAGAGAGAAAGGAGAAAGGTGGATGGAGAGCAGAGGTGCAGAGTGCGATTGATGAGGGAGGAGAGATGGAAGGAGATAGCTCTGTCTTCGTCGTTGTCTCTGTCTTTCTCTCCGTTTCTGTCTCCGTTTCTATCCCTCATACTGGGTCTCGGCCTTTGTCTCCATCTGTCGCCATCTTCAGCTCCGCCTCTGTTCCCTCTTTCGTCGTCCCATCTACGAACTCGCGGCGAAGTTCACACATGTACGCGAAGCCTTGTCCGTTTGCCACTGTCGTCAACAAGTGGCTCTGGGCGGCCGTCCGGGCGGGGGCGGGGGCGGGGGCGGCGGGCGGCGGGCGGCGGCGGCTCGTCCCGGCTGTTTGCCGCCGGAGAACGACATAACGCGGTCGCTCGAGCCTCTCCGCTCGGCTCCTCCTGCAGTTGTCCGCTCGGCTGCCTCAACACACAGCGTTTTGTCTGAAAATGTCGCCGTCAGTCTTGGCAACGGCGCCGGCGGGCCGCGGTGGCGGCGGCGGTGGCGTCGAATAGGCCGCCGTGGCCGTCACGCCAGCGCACAAGACGGACGCCAGCGCGGCCTGCCCTGATGAAGTCGGTAAATCTAATTCTCCATGAAGGCGCCGTCATTGTGTTTATGTTCTATGTGCGGCAGCCGTCGCAGCCGGCGAGTTACGAACCCTCGTTCACGCACACCGGCCCGGCAAATGAAATGGGATGTTGTGAGTTAGATGCCGCAAAATTGCCGCGTATTTCATACACAGGGTTCATATGTTGTACCCAGTACTTTGTCCAGTACTGTTGGAAAAATGTTGGTTTTGTGAGGCGATCTGCTGCTATAAAAAAATGGAAAACTCATTTTGTTCCATAAATTCAGCCTGAATATTTTAAAAAATATGAAGCAAATCTGCAGACATATCGGTGAATTTATTCAAATCCACATTAAGATAAGGCTGTTAATCAATTTTGTCTTCCTAGAATCTTGGAATCCTTTCTCATACGCAACTAATCTTAGAAACCCAGAATGTTCAGAAGTCAGTCGCATATATCATCCCATGTTTGTTGCTGTTTGGGTCTTCACCGGAACTTCACAAGAATTTCGCATTGCTGGGTGAAATATGGCACCATTTGTTTGCTCGTACCAAACCCAGAGTGTGACGTCATGTTGAATTTTATTACACGGTCACGTGCTCGAGAAAGGAGCCATTTTAGATGTCGGAGCACCACGAGCGAGTGCCGGCCGCCAGTAAATCACCGGTTATCGGTCAACATCGAGTCGCGATCGCTTAGACGAATGTAGCCTGTTCACTGTGAGTCCTTAGGGCTGTGTCCAACGTAACAAACAGCAATATGATTTCAGGTTCCGCCAGCCTCTAGGCTGAAGTTCGATGGTAGCAATTCATTTATGCAGAATGCATGAGTCTAAGCAACGAAGTTATGCTTATGAACCGAACCCGGTGAATGCAGTGCCCCAGTCCCTTGTGAACTCATCTAAACTGCACCAACTTTTATTTCCAAAGTCGGCTGGCGGCGTCGCCTGCTTTCAAAGATCACAATAGCGGCGGACGAGCCGCGCCCTATGGAAATCTCTGCCGATGTCGGGTGGTCAGCACGGTGACGTCACGGGCCGTCACGTGTGACGTCACTGGGTCTGCGGGCGCCGGCTGCCCGGCCGCGCCGCGCCGGCCGGCAACTTTTGCAATGTGCCTTCCGGTGGGAATGTGACGATCAATACGGGCGGGTGGCGGCGCCGGGCGGCCGCGCGTGCGACACACACCTCCCATTGTTCCCACTTCCCAGCGGCGGAGTTCTGATTGGAGCCGGCCGGGTCGACAGCCGGCGCGGCGCGGGACCTTCCCAGGCGCTCCGCAGCGCCGGGCCGGAGCTTCGATACAGGCTACAGAGATGTACAGAAGGCTACCTGAACGAACAGGATTGCCTGAGCGCTGTTGCATTGCGTTATGCCGCCTCGACAGCTGAGTGAATCCAGCTGACGATAGTGCATTGGCGCTGACTGCATCAGCGATAACATACCGAGGCATTTGTGACCAGACATGCTATTATTGATAACAATCGCCATGTGAAAGAGCAGGTGCTGACGCTCAGCTGTATTTGGGTAACATTCCCTGGTGTCCAAGTGATGCGGTCCAACTGAGGTGATATTGCGATGGCTGGAAGAGTTTACTGAAAGACAACTAAGAACACCGTAACGTCACCAAACGTAACGTCTTCAATTCGCTAAGCGGTACACGTTTGCGCGTGCTCCCTATAAAAATGGACTATTTGCCATAACATATTCTCCAAAAGATGCATGGCAGGAGATCTTTGTGCTGAGCTTAGTTCAATGGAATTTAAATCAGTGTTCAATATCTTATTTGCCACTCAATTTGGCCTCCGGGTCAAATATTCCTGAGTCTTTTCCATTATTCACAAAGGGGATAATGAAAACTGCTTTGGAGCTTTGCCGTTGATTCGTCGTCTATTATTCATCCTTTATATTGCATTCGCATATAAATCGCTATCGTTGCATGCGTGCGTGGTAAGTACATAATAATTCCCCAGAAAAGATCAATCAATATCATTATTGAGGTTAGAATTGATATTTTCCTCCTACTACGTAATTTTACCATTAGAATATTGCGACAGACGTATTTTATAAATATAACTTTATGCACACAACCGTGAATATTGCACTTTTTTCATCGCCGCATCACTTGTTTGCCGGACCCTTCCACTAAAACTAATACATACTTTACTCGTATTCGTAAGTATTGCGCAATGCGCAGGCTAGGTTTTCGATTCGTCACGTAATACGATTCTGTCATTGTACACAGACTCTGACGATTCCAGAGTGCAACGCCACAAATCACGAGGGCTTTAGCTGGAGCAATCTTTTAAAAGGCGGTTGAAAGTTTGTTTCGCTATCGTGGCGCTGCCATGTGGTGAAGTTGGGGCATTAGTGTGGCTGTGATGGCGCACTGTGCCCCGGCGTAGCTCCTTACGACAGGAAGAAGTGCACCTCAGCCCTTTTATACCGGCATGCAGCAGCCGCTGTGTCTGTATGCTTTGAAGCTCCGAGGCTGCAAGGGTTCGCGGAATGGGAAGGTATCCAAAGCAAGGCATCTGTGGGGCGATCTAAATGCGTCAAGTCTCACTTTGCAAATTGCAGTAGCGTTGAGCGAACGCTGATCCTTATCTTTGCAACCGAACATTAGGATTTTTTCGCTTGGCTCTGGGGGTTGATGATTTTAGTTAAGCGTCATTAAGAATGAGTGAGAGAAGCCTCATTGAAAGCAGACAACTTATATTAGAAGTAATTTTGTTATGAAACCGGTGTAATGTACCTGAGATTTGGTCAGATTGATGTCGTTTTATTGCAACAAAATTACATTGAATTCAATATCCGGGTAATAGGGCTACGATGCCACATTTGACGGGAACGGATCTCGCCTGTCGCCCTTAATACTGCCATATCAGTGGCAGCTCACCTCGAGCGGAACAGCGGCGCTACTGAAGCGGTAACCGATCTGCTCCGTAGACTTCTTCCCCTCACAGGGGAATCTCCATAAATAGTGGACGTAAAAGCCGCCATCATGATGGTCGCTCTGGCGACGTAACTCATCGCACAAAACACTGAGTAGCCGCTCTGTAATGGGCGCCGACGGATGGCTAATGGACTGACGCACAGAGCTTTAATGGGGCGAACACTGCCCCATTTTATAGCTGCCTTCTCTTTCCCATTCCTCACTGACAGTAAGTCGATACGTTAGTCTCTTGTAAAAGTAGGGCGATTTTCAAGGAAGACATCAAAAAAGGAATTCAATGGTAGTTGTCAATGTCTTTTATACGAAAACCGTTTTGTTAGTTAAATTTCGGAAACAACTGGTGCGTTAAATTGTGCGCACTAATCTAATCGTAACCTCAAAATGAAGCAGAGGAGCACAGCATAAATACAAAAATTAAACCGCATGCGGGTACTCTACGAGTGTTCAGAATGTTCCGTCCCATCATTGAATTGTTTTGGTATGGTCAACAACGGCCCATTTTTTTACGATATTGGTAAAGACTCTAGTCTCTCGTTACGGTGTGCACTAGGCGCTTACGCAGGGAATATAATTCGCTATGTAGGAAACGGCAAATATCAAAATTATTTAAACTACTGAAGTATATATAAGACAAGTAGTGTGCATAACAATTTGCGTTGTGTTCGTGTTTCGTATGGCATATCAGTCAGTCAATTGCAGTCTGTCTGTCAGTCTGTCAGTCTGTCTGTCTGTCTGTCTGTCTGTCTGTCTGTCTGTCTGTCTGTCTGTCTGTCTGTCTGTCTGTCTGTCTGTCTGTCTGTCCGTTTGTCAGCCTGTCTATCGGTCTGTCTCTCTGTCTGTCTGTATCTTGTCTCCTTTCTCTTCCCGCCCTCCCTCTCTGACACTCAACAGCACTAACATATGCGTTTGTGTATTTCAGTTGGATTTGGTGATGAGTGGAGAGGAAGGTGATACTTCTAGCTTTATACCCAACGGGGAGTGGGATCTTTTAGGTAAGTTGACAAGCGTCAAGATGTGATCAACTATTTGTTTTAAGTTTAACCCATGCCGTGCTGGTGACCCAAGTTTTACGTGTCGTGCTGCGGGGGGCGTTTTCACGCCCCCTCCCCTCCTTCTAACTCGGATCCTGGGCCTTGTAGCGACACGCGGTAAGCGGCAATCTAAAGAGCGTCAAAAATATTGACGGAAATACTCAGGTCATTTTTAGGTCAGGTCAAAGGTCAGGCCACCAGAGGTCATCAAAGGTCAATTTAAGTCTATTTCAACAATTTTGGAAACTGCCAACGGCAAACTCGGGAACCAATAGAGCTACAGCACCGCAGAAGAGCGCATTCGATAGCCCTTTTACAGACCTTTCTGCGTTTTCCTCTGAGATTTGACATCAGGTCAACGGTTTAGCCTCCAGAGCGCAAAAACTATAAAAATAGCAGTTTTCACAAAAAATGTTTTTCCGTAATAACTGCTGACTCAAGAGAGCCACAACATTACTTCTGCCAGCATCGTGTTTATCTCGTCGAGACGCGTCGAACGAACTATAAGCTGACCTTGTAAGGTCATTGTGAAAAGTTGGCCTCAGGTCAAGGTCATGACCTGACCGGGAACGGTCGTGTTGCATATCAGTCGATCCGTATCGTCGAGCTGAACATATTTGGACGGTTTTCAAAGCTCTAGCACGTCTCAATCAAAAGTTATAGTAATAAGCCCTGGTGCGCAGTTGGTAAGGCGTCAGCCCGCGGTGCGGGAGGTTCCGGGTTCGATCCCCGGTGCCGCCCGTTCCGCGGCGTCGTCCCCAGCTGTGTCACCAGGAGTGGGGTGGGCTCCCACATTAGCCGTTGCCCAGGGGGGAGGGGTACCTTCCTGTAAATGGGCATACCGGCCCGTTGGAAGGATGACGAATAAATAAATAAATAAATAAATAAATAAATAAGGCTGCTGGTGACCTTTCATGACCTGAGATGACCTCAAGGGCGCACAGAGGGGTCACAGGTGCATTTTTCCGATTTAGGGTGTCATGTGTACTTATGAACCGATGTTTGAGAGGGCTTAGAACGACATTCGTCCAAAAGAGGCGTATTTCAATTTTCTCTTGTTGACTTTTAATAGAGGTCGCAAAGTTGACCTGACCTTCGGTCACAATATGAAAAATCCGAGATATACATTTCACTCATAATGTTACTCTTATCAATCGCTGAGAGTTTCAAAGTGGTTGTTCAGTCGGTGTACCTAAAGCGAGCCTTTGAACTTTTTCTGAGTTAAGATCACTTGACGTGACCTGGTCACCTGACCTTGAAGGACCCGGGTCTTAAATTTTCACAAAATGTGCGGAAAGGATGTGTGAACAGGTGTATCAAACACGGCTTCTTAGATGTTTGCGAAAAGCCTGAGGGGGGATGGGCGTAAAACGCCCCCAGCACGGCGCGGGTTAATTGTTTGCATGCATGACGACCCCCGTCGGTGCGCGGGTTAATGACCAAACCTTTATCGCAAATTATTATCGCAAAACATCGCAACTTATTCCATTTCGCGTGAGAGATCTCTTAGCAGGCTCCCGTAAAGCATGTGCTGAATAATGAATATGTCACTGAAAAGCTCTAGAGTCGCGGCAGATTCGCTTACGAAGGTGTGATACGAGCCATTAGCGCTAAATAGGGCGTAGAAGCGTCTTAGAAATGTACTGAGACCGCGGGGTTAACCCTCGCCGGCCGAGGGGGGGGGGGGCGGGTGCCGCCCCCCCATAGGGTTTTTTCGCGATAGCTCCGAACACGCTGGCGATAGAGAGCTGAAACTTGGCATACCTGACCTTTGATCCAAGCCGCATCTTTTGACACCAACCGTATTTTTAAGTCAGGTCAGGTCACTGACCTATGACGTCATAAGTGAACCTCTGCACGGTCTTCAGATGTCGCAACTTCGCAACGCCCTCACTGCCAGAGGAGATGTCACAGGGAAATGAAACTTGCAGGATCTAGTATCCATTATGAGTCCCACAAGTTGTATATCTCGGATTTTTCCTAAAGGTCATATGAGGTCAGGTCATTTTCGTGACCTCACCATTATAAGTCAATAGGGAAAAATTCAAACTGCTATTCTGGCGCCGGGAACGATCTCCAACTATCTCAAGCACACAGAATCGTGATTTTATGCACTCCTTGCAAGGTTAGATGCGTCACTTTTGCAATGTTGACCTTGCGTGACGTCATTTATGACGTCATCAAGGTCATATTAGTTTTTCGTCAATAACTCTTGATCAAATTGAGCTAGCGAGTCGGGAAAGCCACCAATGGACTCAGGAAGACCTGCCGAATCGAATGATATGCGACATGACCCCTTTTGACCAACTTCGTGACCTGGGGGTGCTGACCTGACCTTGACCTGAGGTCAACACCCCAAGTTGACCTAACCCGGACAAAAAGTATATCATTCGACGCGCCTGAGCGAGACGAACACGATGCTGCCAAAATCGCGGCTCTGCGGCCGTTTTTTGCGAAGTTATTCACCAAAAACTGAACCGTACCCTGGGGCACTTGACCTGACCTCAGAGGTCACCGGTTGACCTAGGACCTTAAAATCGGGTACCAATCTCTGCGTCTCGTAACGGCGCACACGCTCGTTTTTTCCGCGACGCGCTAGCTCCACCAGGGGCGAAACGGCGAGGGGGGGTCGTACCCGCCCCCCCCCCCCCTTCCTCGGCCGGCGCGTATGTTGCGGGAGCTGAACACACCGGATCCGAACGTCACTCTATTTGCAGTTTAGGGAGCACAAGCGCGTACCGCTCCACACGTCCCTCCGATCCCGTCTCCCGGGCCGCCGCCCGCCCAGCCAGGGCTAGCCGCCGACCCCGCCCCAGGGCCACGCGGCAGGGGCGGCGCCGGGCGCGGCCAGCCGGGGAGGCGCCACGGGCGGCGCCAGGCGTGCCACAACGGGCGGCCACAGCCGCCCGTAACACCCCTCCCCCACATGAGCACGAGTCATCCCACGAGCACGAGTGACCCCCCGCATGACAACCACACCAAAAACAGCCTCAACAAAACACAACAACAACAAAAACGACAACTTCGAATCATACATTCATACACACCGTCCCGAGCGCCCTCACACATGCCGCCTAGCGTCGGCCGCGCCTGAGCCACCCCGGCAGGTAGTCCATCAGTCGCCGGTAGCCGGCGGCGCTGAGGTGGACCCCGTCAGCCGAGAAGAACCTGCCGTCCATCTTAAAGCGCCGTTTCCTCCCCTCCCGCCGGCAGAGGCGTCGGCCGAGCGCGACGAAAGTGGAGTCGGTCTCGCGGCACAGTTCGCACAGCGCCCGTTCGAGCCAGAAGGCCGGGGTGGACTCCCACACTCTGCCACCGTCGCGGGCCGGCCGCGGCGTCACGCCGAGGATGGTCACGGCGCAACCAAGGCTACGGGTGTCGATGATGGTCTCCTTCAGCCGCCCCAGCGTCGCCACCACCGTGACCGGGTCGAAGGCGGCCCCCCTTGGGTAAACGTCATTACCGCCCAGCCATAAGATGACTTGGAGGTCCGTCAGCTCCCCTTTCCCACAGACCCACGCCCTTACTTCGGTCGCGCTTGACCGCAGCCAGCGGCTCAGAGTCAGCCCGGGGACCGCGCACACGGACAGGCGCCGAGGGGGGTCACACCGGAAGTCCGCCCTGCTCAGCATAGAATCTCCTATTAAGAGCACGGCGGACCCCGGCGGACCAGCCTCCGGCGAACCGCCGGACCCCTCAGCGATGTCCCCCAATCCAAAGTCCGTGTCGATCGGGTCGCCCAGAATCTCACCCAATATGTCGGCACCGTCGACCCCGACTGAAGCCCCCGCCAGGATGGCGGCGGCCGGAGATACCGGCTCGCCCAGAATTTCGCCCAATATGTCGGCACCGTCGACCGCGACTGAAACCTCCGCCAGGATGGCGGCGGTCGGAGATACGGGTGGTCGTCCGCCGCCCTCCTCGCCGTCTCCCGGGCGTCTCCTGTCAGGAGACGGGAACGATTCTCCATCTGGCTGCGTCCCCCACATGGCTTCACCCGCGGCACCACCATCCGCGGGTGGGACCTCCACCACCACCTCCACCAGGTCCGAGTCCGACGGCGCCGGCGACGACCACAGTGCGGAGGACGGCATCTCCGTCACCACCTCAGTCAGCTCCGCGTCCTGCTGCACGATCAGCGGCAGCCCGGCGTCCGCGGAAGGCATACCACCTCCCGAGAGCCCTCTGAGGAGACCCTGAAGCTGTTCCTCCAGTCGCTCGCGCTCGGCCCTTTCCTCGGCAACAGCCGTCCAGAGGCTGTCTAGCTCCAGCCGCGTAGGGTCCATCTGAAACTTAAAAATACAATCACCTTTTGGTTCACGAGCACTTCTTAGCAGCACAAGTCAATATCTGCCCACCCACCCTACTTGATGTAACAGGGTCTTCCACTACTTTCGGTTTCGATCAGGAGGGACCAAATTTGATTTCCCGCCTGAAACCTTTGACACACATCCTGACCTAGTCACATAATAGACCGGTCACGCTCCTGTTCTGCCGCAAAACCGGATCGAGAAGACACATCGGTCGAGGTGGGTCAGCGCTGGAAGCGACTAACGGGCACCCACCTCGACTGCGGCCTCCCCTCCCCACGAGGGACACCTCAACTTTGTGACCCCGGTGTCCCGGACCTCAGCTGACCAAGACGCCCCACTGGGCAGTCCCGCCGAAAATGGTCAGGAGCACCACACCCGTAACACCCGCTAGTTTTGGACGTATCAGGGCTGAAACGAGCAACAGTGAGTGCCTCCAAGGACGACTGCAGCTGCCCAACCTCCTGTTGAAGCTGACTTACTGTGTCCTGGAGCATCGCGCGCTCAGTTTCGGCGTCACGCTAGGCTAATGCTACCGACCCACTCGATGTTCGTTCCGTATCAGTGTTTCCTCCTTTATGTTTCAATAACTTTTACCTGTCTCATACAGGGGCCGCGCATAGTCGAGTGCGGCACCATCCAACAGAGGCA